ATTCTATTCTATTCTATTTCCATTCCCTATTCTATTCCTTATTCTGTTCTATTCCAATTCACTCCACTCCGCTCGTTTCTTGTTCTATTCTGTTCTGTACTGTACTATTCCATTCCATTCCATTCCATTCCATTCCATTTGTTTCTTATTCTATTCTATTCTATTCCATTCTACTCCACTTCACTCCTTACCTACATATCTAACTATGTATATTTATGACTTTTTAAAATACATACGGTGCTCCTTTGGATGAATATGGACAGTAAAGTCCAATGTTACCACCAGGATAGAAAAACCAGTTGTCTTCCTTTGGGCCCAAGTCAAAGGTATCCGAAAGGATCACAGGATTTTTGAGGTTATTTCCATCAATAATGAAGTTGTCTATAATCCAAATCTCCTCCTTCTTACCTAGGAAAAGTAAAAAAATAAATAAAATCTTGATAACGACTGGTCCAGTAGTTAGAAACCACTAGGAAATAACTGAATGCAACGGAATAGTTAATCGGTTGCCACTAAGTGCTTCCTAAAACACTTTAAGAAGTGATTAAGATTAGTAATATTTTCACGTGCAAATTCCAAATCATAAACTAAATAACGGTAAGTTGACACAAGGAGATAACTTTAATTAACCCTTCTCTGGCCCATCAGCTCAAGCACATTGAGTTTGTCATTAAGAATATGCCACTGAACTTGCTTGCTGCTCAAACTGAATCATAATGTAAAGGCAATAGTCAACATACGATGACGGCCCCTCACAGTCATATGCCATAACAGTCGATTTTACAACCTGTTATTGGATGGTTGTTAAGCTAATTGCCACGTTTGTTAAATGAACCTGCAGTCATTAACTGAATACCATAGTTGTTGGGTGCTACGGCACAGTTTTGCCAAAAACTGGAAAGAAGCACCCAATTTCAACAAAACTGTCATAAAACATGGGTCACATGATCCCATGACTCTGCAAATGTCTGTAAATGCACCCCTGTTGCCAAGCAACCAATGTTCAGTCATGTGATCAAGGAAGAGGGCCCGACAGTCAGAACTTTCAACCTGAGTCATATAAATCCCGTTTCGATTCGGTAGTAAATTTGGTTGCTAAGCAATCGGTAGCAAGACGGCCTGTATCTCAGGGGTGTCAAACTGGATTTCTTCAAAGGCCAGATCAGCATTGTAATTCTCCTCCATGGGCTGGCTAGGGGGCAGGGGAGATGGGATGGACACTTCCTGCAGCACCCTGCTGGCCAAAATGGGTGTTGTGGTTCGCCGGCAGTCTGCAGAATCAGACAGTGGGGAAGAATGGGGACCAGTCCAGGAGTCTGGAGATGACTCAGATGAGGGTCCTGCGTCTGATGCAGAGATGGGGCGAGGACCATCTGGGAGTGGGGTGCTGACTCTGGAGCCTCCGGAGTCTGGCAGCAGTGAGGCAGAGGAACAAGGGGAGCCTGTTCCCAGTGTGCATGTGCGCAGAGCTGCCAGAAGGCAAGAACAGTTAGGACAAAAGGGGTAGACTCAGGAGTAAGGCTTGGAGGTGATTGCCCCTCCCATAAGGTATAAAGGAGGTGCAAAGGTAGAGAAACCTTTGCAGGAAGCAAAGTCATTTGCTCTGATCGGATTAAACGTTGAAGTTCTGTGTGGACTTTGTACTTCAGTTGTTTTTTTACAGTTAATTCAGCACATTAGTTGTTGGCAGCAACTCAAAGGAGATAAAGGTGAGTGCTTATCTCGAGGGACTGTTTGGGACTCATTACAGGCTGGGAATGAGCATAATTCCCAGCACTGAAATAAATCAAGAATTGTTTGGACCAAGCGTGTGCTTAATTATGGTCTCAGGAAGCCTCAGTCAGAACAATTGGGCACAGAGGGGACATGCCCTGTTTTCAGCCTGGACAGCTTCTTGCAGCACTTTGCCAGCCAAAATGGGGCACCGTGAGCTGGTCCTTTGCTATTTCCAGGATGGTCCCGCGGGCCAGATTTAAGCACTCTGTGGGCCATGTCCAGCCCATGGGCCTTGAGTTTGACCCCCCCTGCTGTATCTCAAACCCATCCAAATCTAGATCCTTCGTTCTATACCGTTGTTGTAGGGTTGCCAGATCCTGAAACGGGTAGCACTGTTTCGCGCTGAATATGGCAGTGGGATGTTAATGAAAAGGACATCAGTTGTTTGGGTGAAGTAAAACTCATCTATCAGGTGCCACGTGATTCCTCCATTGAGGGAATACTGGAGCAGAATAGAATGTGATCTCTCTGGGGTACCTGAAACATAAGGGAAAATGTTGTAATGACAACAGTGACAAGATGAATCAATTACAAAAACTTACCTTGTGTTCAACTATGAAGTCAAGTTAACTTACGTTATATGTGGAAATTACATATATTGTAAGTTACACCTGAGAAACAAAGAACAGAAAAGAATCCATGTTTATCCAATATATGAACTGTGCAATGATTATTGGACAGTTATATAACTGTATCTAAGAAATACATTATGTTTTGTAACTTATGTTTTAAAAGTGTCAAGTTCTTGGCTGGAATAGGTGTTTGTAATCTTGGCTTATAGATAAATGTGAGAGATGCTGGGTCCTTCTGACCCAACGGAAATCTATTAATGATCCATTGTGCTTAGATGGTCATAATAGGACCATAACAGGAAGAAGAAGCCATAAGAACGAGGGTAGTTTCCAAGGACAAGGAAACAGGTGTTATGTTACGATACTATGGGTGTGGCATAGGGAGATATGTAACTTGGATAGATTGTGAACCCAGGAAAGGGGCAGAGACTGTATATTCAAACCTGTATATAAACTCCAGCCTTCCTGGGAACCATGTATTCTGCCATGAGCAGAATTTCCTTTTGCAAAAGCTTAATAATAAAGCTCTTCCATATTGTTCATGTGTCTCCGGCTGTTTTTTGTGATTATTATCACAACTTAGTTTTTAAAGTAGCCTTTATAGAGCGGTCAACAATACAACACAGGTTTTAAAATGTAACCAACTGATGTTTTGACATATTTTTTGAGGACGGTACAAGTTATTGGCCAAGATTCTGAGATGTCATGAGATATACATGGAGGGAGATAGACTATCTCTACATCCACTTTAACAGTATAGTATAGTGGTGGCTAACCTTTTTGGCCAAAAATTGTGTGTGCGCTTGCATGCTTGAACTTGTGTGCCAGCACCCAGAAGGCAATGCGCCCCTCCACGCCTACACATGTGTGCGCAATCCCCAGTCCCCAGCCACCACCACCCATCACCCCCTTACCTGCACTGGCCTCACAGCTGATTTTCGGCTGGTTTGAGGCCTTTTTTGGCTTCCCAGAGGCTTCAGGAAGGCTTCTGCAGGCCAAAAACTAGCACCGTTTCGTCACTTCCAATATTTCCGGAAAAACAGGAAGTGATGAAATGGGCCTAGTTTTTGTCCTGAAAAGCCTGCAGAAGCCGTCTTGAAGCCTCTGGGAGGCCAAAAAAGGCCTCAAACCAGCCAAAAAACAGCTGTGAGGCGCATGCATGCACAGTGAGGTAAGTTTGCCTGCAGCTCCCATGCCAGTACAAATGGCTCTGCGTGCCACCTGTGGCACGCGTGTCATAGGTTCCCCATCATGGGTATAGTACATTAGTATAAATAAGTATAAAATGTAGTATTAATCCCCACAGATCCTGGGGAACATACTACAGTCTGGAGGTATCTTTCTAGCTTCATTAGGTCTCTTTTGCTGTGTCTTGGTTCTGAGTCACAATGGGTTGTTTGTGAACTTGCTTCACTTTTGCACTCAGCAAGGATTATATTAATTTATCGTTACGCCTGTTTGGCGTAGTGATTAAGGCATCAGGATAAGAAAACAGTCAGTTCTAATCTCGCCTAAGGCACAAAACCAGCTAGTTCTTTAGCAAACCATTTCTAAAAAATTCTGGTAGGGTAACTGCAAGGAACAACCATCATTAACTGACTAAAGGGGAACAACATTGTGATGCAGTGGGTAAATGGAACTCCAAAGTATTTCTTTTAAAATACTTACCTCTAGCTAAAAATCTGAATGAAAACTGAATGTACATTGTATTGGTACAGTCCAAATCCCTTGAAACGAGCATCCTCAACCCTTCCTGAATAAAGAGAATACGTAGCATTACTACTTTGCATGGAGTTAAATAGCATCTTGATCATCTTTCTTACCAAGCAAGTCCAGTACATATTTTTTTTAAAAAAAACCTTCCCCAAAACTACTGAAGTAATCCTATATAATGATCGGGAAGTAGGGTAAACAGTGAGGTGACCAGCTTAATAATTTCCCATTATTTGGGGGTATGTCAGTAGGCAGCATCTAATGGAAGGATCTGATATCTTCTCTGTGTCTTTGCAAGCCCATATGCTCCTTCATTTAGTTGTTATTTTCTCAAAAAGGGAGAGAGAGAGAGAGGGAGGG